TATATATATATATATATATATATATATATATATATATATATATATATATATATATATATATATATGTTCAAAACTATATATCTATTTCGTAGACTGTTGTATACTATATGTCTATAGATATGTGGATACGCTGTGGTGTAAAGAAACGCAAAAAAGAAGAAAAAAGCGACGAAGACAAAAACAGAGAACTCGAGAAGAAATAAGAAACGCGCAGAATGTGACAAAAGCAAATAAAAAAGAAAGAAAAGAAGTAACGGAGTATTGACGCCATAAACAAAAACAAAAAGAAGAGATTGGCGTTTGAGCCTGTTTGTGGATGACTGCGTTTATACTGCTATTATTCATCTTTCGGCGGTTTTGCTGTTTGCTGCTGCTGCTGCTGCTGTTGTTGCTGTTGCTGTTTGGTTGCATGCGCTGCTTGCTGCTGCTGCTCGGGCTTTGTTTCTTCCTGTGTTTCTTCTGTCTTTACACCCCGCAGCAGCAGATGGGGGGAGGGCTTCGAGCTGACGACTGAGCGTAGACGTTTTAACCTAAGGAAAGCAGCTTCATCTTCTTTGTCTGTTTCGGTTTTTATTATAACATTTTCATGTATCTGCTGCTGTATATCTGTCTCTGTATCTGCTGCTACTACTGCTGCTACTGGTGCTGCTGCTGCTGCTGCTGTCCTACGCCGACGGCCTGCTGTTGCTTCAACGTGCTCTCGCTGATTTGCCTTTGCTGCTGCCTGCTGCTGCTGCTGCTGCCGCAGCGCATCTTTCTGCATTTGGGCCTCAAAGGCTGCACCCCACCAACATACCGCACACCCAAACCCTAAACCCTAAACCCTAAACCCTAAGCAAGACACTGTAGAGCCTGGCGAAGCCCCTCACATGCATTGAAGAGAAAACATTCGATAAGACGAAATTTCCGAACCCTAGCAGCAGCAGCAGCAGCGGCAGCAACAGCAGCAGCAACAGCAGCAGCAGCAGCGGCAGCAACAGCAGCAGCAGCAGCAACAGCAGCAGCGGCAGCAACAGCAGCAGCAGCAGCAGCAACAGCAGCAGCAGCAGCAGCAGCAGCAGCAGCAGCAGCAACAGCAGCAGCGGCAGCAACAGCAGCAGCGGCAGCAACAGCAGCAGCAGCAGCAGCAGCAACAGGACCTTTACCTGCTGTTGCTGCATCTTCTTCAGCCTGAAGCCGCCCCCCACCCATTCCCATTTTGCGGNAGGACCTTTACCTGCTGTTGCTGCATCTTCTTCAGCCTGAAGCCGCCCCCCACCCATTCCCATTTTGCGGATAGAGAAGAACATGGGCCCTAACTCAGCCAGCCACCGCGCGTCCACTGCCGTCACCTGCAGCGGCAACGCGTAAACCCTAAACCCTAAACCCTAAACCCTAATCCTGAACAGAAACTAGAGGGTGGTGGAGGCGGAAATCGCAGGGCTGATCGGAAGAGAGATAGGACCGATTAAAAAAGTAAATAGAATGAAAAGATAAAACAAAGACTTACTCATCATGGAGTGTACAGACAGCACGAACGAAAACAACACCAAACAACAACACAGGAAAAAAAAACAAAAAAATATAACAAATTAAACAATCGAGACAAAGAAATAGCAGACACCACGCAAACTATAAACACGAAACCCGAGACCCTAAACACTTCTTTATCTTTGCTTGCTGGCCCTGTACTGCTAAACCCTAAACCCTAATATCCCTGCAACAGTTTATAACTATTTGCTGGACCCTACAGCCCTCCGCCTACCCCTAAACCCTAAACCCTAGCCAGTAAACCCTAAACCCTGGATTGTGTGCGTACATTTCGCATGTATTCCTTGGTGGTAAGGAGGAGCTCATGATAGACGACGTATTCAGGTGTATATCCAGCTGAGTAAAGAGCTGATGTTGGATGCACATGACAGGGAACAGAAGTCCTCAGATTTACATATTCACCAATGCCACGCAGCTTCGCGGCGTGGTGGAAATAACCAGCGCAAATGGCCTGCATGCACACACAGAAAATAATTATAACAAAGATAGTAATGATAATAATAATAATAATAATAATAAAAATAATAATAATAGTATCGAGAAACTGCTGCCTGTTGTGTCGTGCGCAAAGAAGACAGAAGGAAACCAAGAAGAACAAAAGGGGGCACAGAAGGAGAAAAAGAACACAAAAAAAGGAAAAAGGATTAAAAGAAAAAGAAAAAAGAACAAAAACAAAAAAGGAAGAAAAAATATAGAAATGAATACCTTTCTAAGAACATCCCAATCTGTACCGCAGGATATTTCAGCTATTCCCTGTTGCTTCATTGTATCCACCAACTGATCGCGGACTTCTCTTGCTTTCTGCATAGCCTGCAATAGAAAAAGAAACAGAAATATAAAATAAAAATAGAAATGAAAAAAATGAAACAATAAACAATATAAACAACAACAACAAATACGTGAAGAAGAAAGAAACACAGATAAAGAAACAAAAGAAGACACAAAAGGCAGAAAGAAACTGAGGCAAAGAAAACAAAAAGAAACAGAAAAAACATAAAGACAGAGAAAGGAGATAGAAGAAAGAAGAAACGAACCACAGAAGTGTTTTATATTATACAAAGTGTACAACACAAAAGAGGAGAGAAACAAAACGAAGGAAACAAAAGAGAGTAAGCAAATCACCCAAACAAAGGAGAAAACAAAAGCCGAAAAAAAANAAAAAAAACGAAAAAAATAAAAAGAAAGAAAAGAAAAAGATATACCTTTGGTTGTACAAAATGTTTGAGGCACCACTGAGGATTGCACTTTGCTCGTTTCCATTGCTGAAATACATTTAATAGAGTAAGATGATCGCTTTCAGGAACGAAGAATTTTTCTTTAAGACTTTCAGCTTCTTGTTGTTTTTCTTTTGCAACAAAAAATATAGAAGGAACAGAGAGAAGAGATACAATAGAAACGAGTTCACTGACACCACCAAGCTCAGAAGCAGCTAGCAACATCTTCGATAAAGGAGGATCAAGAGGGAAAGCAGACATTTTTTGTCCTGTTTGTGTTATATTTCCATTGTTATCGAGAGCCCCTAATACCCACAACTGAAACATTGCATCTAATAGGTTATCATATGGGGGAGGATCTATAAGGTCAAATTCTTGTAGGTCCTGAACCCCTATACTCTTCAGCAGCAATACAACATTGCTGAGGTTTGTTCGTTGCACTTCTGGTACTGTAAGAGGCAACATCTCACGTATAAATGCAGTTTCTGTGTATAAACGAAAACATTTACCCGGACCTGTACGACCTGCTCTACCTTTTCTTTGATTTGCATTCGCTTGGGATATAGGAGTAACCTGAAGGCAATCCATACCTATAGAAGGATTAAACACTTTCAGTTTACATAAACCACAATCTACAACATATCGTACACCATCAACAGTCAGAGATGTTTCTGCTATATTTGTTGCNTACATAAACCACAATCTACAACATATCGTACACCATCAACAGTCAGAGATGTTTCTGCTATATTTGTTGCTACAATAACTTTTCTATATTTCGATGGCTCAAATATCTTTGCCTGTAAATCAGCAGGAAGCTGAGAATATATAGGTAATATAGTGAGAGGTGGAGCTCTCTCTCCTAGCTGTTCAAGTCTAGATGCAAGCAGAATACAAGAAACCTCAATATCATCCTGTCCCGTCATAAAGAGAAGAATATCTCCTCCTCCTTCTTCTTCTCCTTCTGCTGCTGTTGCTGCATCTCCTGATGAAGGGGGAGGCGTGCTGCAGTGTATAGCTAAACATTTCTGTACTGCTGCGTCAACATAGTCATCGGGTATACACCGAGCGAATTCAACTTCTACTGGAAATGTTCTACCCGGAATATTAAATATCACTGCACCACCAAAAAAAGAAGAAAAACGATCAGCATCCATCGTTGCTGATGTTACTATCAACTTGAAATCACGACGACGACCCACTACCCCCTTCAATACACCAAACAATATGTCCGTGTTCAAAGACCTAAACAACACATAAAACACAAACCCTAAACCCTAAACCCTAAACCCTAAAACCTAAACCCTAAACCCTAAACCCTAAAGGCAAGAAAGGTGATATACCGCCACCCCCAGCAAATGAAGAAACACCAACAAACCCCAAATCCAAGCATCGAACAAACTACAGTCAGAAACAAACTCGTCGCAACAACAACAGCAGCAGCAGCAGCAGCAGGAGCAGCATCAGCAGCACTATATGCATAAATGCAGCAGCAGCAGTAGCCACAGCACTGACAGCAGCAGCAGCAGCAGCAGCATGGGCAGCAGTACGAAGATTAGGATGATCAGCAACAGAACCACTAATATAAACAGCATGAATATATAATATATGAAGGAAATATAGTATATATATTATATTATATTATAATATAACATAATATAATATAATATAATATAATACAATATAATATAATACAATATAACATAAAATAATATAATACAATATACTACAATATAATAAAATATAATACAATACAATATAATATAACAATATAATACAACATAATAAAACATAATAATATATAACATAATATAAAACATTTGTTCTTGCCTTTCATGCGCTTCATCCATGATAATGCAGCTATATTTATCTAGGTCTGGATCGCTGAGGCTTTCTCTGAGCAGCACGCCATCCGTCATATATTTAATTGAAGTTTCTTGTGAAGTGCAATCCTCGAAACGAATAGAATAGCCAACGGTTGTTCCCAGCTGTACATCCATCTCCTCAGCAACACGCTTAGCTACAGAAACAGCAGCAACACGACGAGGCTGTGTACACCCTATTATACCTTGAGAAAATAAACCCACTCCCCCTGATGCTGCTACAGCTTCTGCTGCTGCAGCACCACCACCACCAGCAGCAGCAGCTGCTGCTGCTGCTTTAGACCCAGCTTTCGGTGGTGCTGCTGCTGCTGCTGCTGCTGCAGCTGCAGCAGCAGGGGATGTTGCATACCCCTCCTCAAGCAGATACTGCGTCAGTTGTGTTGTTTTTCCGCTGCCTGTTTCTCCTACAACAATAATAATTTGGTG